GGGTGCCTGCTTTGCTGCATGAGAGCCACGGGGACCCACCGGAGCTGCTTCTGCCCCGCAGAGTGGGGCTGGTGGCCTGGCTGGGGGCGGGGTGACAGCACTGTCGCCACTCAGCGCTGCTCCTTCCGTCCCTTGCAGGGGAAGGTGAGGGTGCGCCGGGCGAGCATCTCAGAGCCCAGTGACACGGAGCGCGAGTGCCCGGCACGGCCCCCCTCTGCCGGTGAGACTCCCCCCTCGGCCCAAAGCCAGCAGCTGCCCCCCTGCGGGGCTCTGTGGGCCCCACTCCCCGGGATGTTCTCTCCGCAGGGCTGGGCCAGTGGCACCGGGAGCTGGCGCGCATGGACGCCTTCCGAGAGCACTTGGGTGCCGACTGGCTGCAGTACAAGAGGCAGCTGGAGGGGCACGGCCAGGAGGGGCCTTTCACCTCCCTTAGTTGTCCTGCCAGGGAGGTGCCGGGCAGCCTGCCTGGCACCCGCACGGTGAGCGAGAGCACCACCCCGGAGCAAGCCACTCCCTGTGGGTCGCTGCGGGACAGCCCGAAGGAGGAGGAACCCGCCTGGCAGTGCGAGGAGGCCCTGCGAGAAGGCCAGAAAGGAGAGATGGCTGTGGACGAGCTCGCAGCCCCGGAGGGAGAGGAGAAGCCAGAAGGTAAATAGGTTCTCTCAGAAGCTGTTCAGGGCCTCTGCATGTCCCCTCCCTGCTGTGAGGCTGCACCTGGAGCTGCCCAGCCCTGTGCCTTGCAAGGCACCGGGGCCTGGCCTGGCCTGAGGGCGGAGAGCCGTGCGCCGATGCCCGGGTGTCTGTCCCGCAAGGCGCCGGGGCCTGGCCTGAGGGCGGAGAGCCGTGCGCCGATGCCCGGGTGTCTGTCCCGCAAGGCGCCGGGGCCTGGCCTGAGGGCGGAGAGCCGTGCGCCGATGCCCGGGTGTCTGTCCCGCAAGGCGCCGGGGCCTGGCCTGAGGGCGGAGAGCCGTGCGCCGATGCCCGGGTGTCTGTCCCGCAAGGCGCCGGGGCCTGGCCTGAGGGCGGAGAGCCGTGCGCCGATGCCCGGGTGTCTGTCCCGCAAGGCGCCGGGGCCTGGCCTGAGGGCGGAGAGCCGTGCGCCGATGCCCGGGTGTCTGTCCCGCAAGGCGCCGGGGCCTGGCCTGAGGGCGGAGAGCCGTGCGCCGATGCCCGGGTGTCTGTCCCGCAAGGCGCCGGGGCCTGGCCTGAGGGCGGAGAGCCGTGCGCCGATGCCCGGGTGTCTGTCCCGCAAGGCGCCGGGGCCTGGCCTGAGGGCGGAGAGCCGTGCGCCGATGCCCGGGTGTCTGTCCCGCAAGGCGCCGGGGCCTGGCCTGAGGGCGGAGAGCCGTGCGCCGATGCCCGGGTGTCTGTCCCGCAAGGCGCCGGGGCCTGGCCCGAGGGCGGAGAGCTGTGCGCTGATGCCCGGGTGTCTGCCTTGGCAGTGGACCTGTGCCAGCCTGTCCTGGTGAGCCAGATAGAGGGTGACGGCGCCCCAGAGCCAGACTGGATCTTCCTGCGCGTCACAGCCCGGCATGTGATCGAGGTGGAGCTGAAGGCAGCCAGAGTCCTGCACAAACTGGAGCTGAGGAGCCTGCAGAAAGTGGAGACCTCGGAGATGGCCTGGAGACGGATGGTGAGTTGGCTCCGCGAGGCGCTTGCCTTCTGATCTGCATGCGCCAGCGACTCGGAGCCCAGCTGCAGGGCTGGCAAAGGGGCCGTGGGTGAGCCAGCTCTCTCCCCCCCGCGTGCGCCTGCCCCACCCTGTGGCTGAAGGCCGCACAGGGCAGTGCTGCGGCCTGGGCCAGGCTGTGCCCCAGTTCTCCTGGGCGGAGTCAGGAAATGGAGCTGGTCGAGCTCTGGTTGGGGGCTGAGGGAGGTCTTTGCACACTAACCAGCACAGCCTGGGATTCGCTTCCTGGCCGGGGCAGTAACTGCCAGCGACCTTCAAGTTCACTAAAGGTCCCTAATTGCCCAGTGTGGACTTGCTTCAGCGGTGCCCTGTCGCTGGCTAGCCTGCGTCCTGGCCGGCCCTCTGAGCATGGCCCCCCGCTGTGGAGTCACTCTGACTGGGGAGGGCGGGGGGCAGCTTTCCTGGACCAGCGTAGGCTGCTGAGACCAGCTTTTGAGCACGAGAGGTGGCCTTGTCCCCTTGTGCCAGGATTGTAGAGACCAGTAGGATTCAATCCTGCTTTGACTGTCCAGACAGTCCCCCTGGGCTTGCCAAGTCTGGACAGTCTGTGCTGGCCTCCGGCCCCTCATCCCCTGTATACGCCTCCCAGCAGGGCGGACTCACTGGCCCTTCTCCGCACGTCTCGGCGGCATTGCGTGGGGAGCAGCGTCTCCGCCTGGGCTGCTCTCGGTGCTGCTTGTGCCCGGGGTCCTGCCCATGTGCCTGGAGCACCCTGCCAAACCCTGGGAGCACAAAGCTCCAGGCCCACTGCCCCTGATGGGCCTCGAGCCCCTGGCTGCTTTTCCTTCAGGACCTGGAGCGAGTCTTCCCTGTCCTCACGCTCTACTTTGGCTACATCCGCAAGGACCGTCGGAAGCGCAGCTATGTGGTGCTGGACGATCACCCGGAACGCTGTGTGCAGGTGAGGGGGCCCTCCGCATGCTGAGTGGCATGGGCCGAGCCTGGCTCTGTTCTGGGTCTGCCTGAATGTGACACCCCTAGCCCAGCTCGAGAGGAGTCTGCTGCAGCCTTAGCTAAGGCCATGTGACCTGTGGCTCCAGAGATGCCAGGTTTGGTCCTGCCTCCCCGTGCCCAGGCTCGGTTGGCATGGTGGGTGAGTGCGTAGGTGCACGGATGTCCCAGGCTCCCGAGGGCCTTGGAGCCTGCAGCATCTGCTAGGCCCAGCTGCTGAAAAGCCATGGGAGGCTGCTGAGGACCCACTAATGGCTTGTGCAGGACCCCCAGGGGTGTGAAGTGACAGGTTTGATTTCCAAGTTGGGCTGATCATGCCACTGGTGCCTGGCTGCCTTCTGGGGCTCCCCATCACCCTGCCTGGCCAGGCCAGGAGCTCTGGTCTCCCCCAGGGTTACGGCCCCCCATCCACAGAGCAACACTGCCACTGAACCAGCTCGGCTCCAGGAGGGCCCAGCCCCCAGACAAATCCATCTGACTCATGTGAGTTTGGCAGTGAGAGCTTATACGCTCAGGAGTGGCTTTGGGGGGGGCATTGGGGGGGGGGGGCCCCCGCGCCAGTCAGTGCCCCTGCCTGCACGGCCGCCAATGGCTGTGATGTCGTCATCGGGCGGGCGCCCGGGCTGGTGCCACAACCATATAAACCAAAGTGATACAATAACAAAGAAGGAACGCATTGAAATTGACTCTAATTATCTCCCCCATTAGAAAGAGAGCACCCCAATTATCTCCCCGTTACAGAGAGCACCCCAATTATCACCCCCGTTACAGAGAGCACCCCAATTATCACCCCCGTTACAAAGAGCACCCCCAATTATCTCCCCCGTTACAAAGAGAACACCCCCAATTATCACCCCATGTCATTACCTCAGACACTAACCTTCCCCCCACCCCCATTCTGTTCTAGAACTTGATTTGTCAATTTCACACTCATTCTTCTTTTTTCATTGTATCCTTTGGTATCTATGGCCATGCCAATTCTCTTCCAGAATGTGATCTGAGGAAGCGGGTCTGGCCCATGAATGCTCATCACCTATTAAACCATCTTGTTAGTCTTTAAGTGCTGCCTAGTTTCTTCTCCTTTTGTTTTAGCGAGATCAGACAAACACGGCTACCTCTCAATTACTATTCCTCCTTCCTTGTCTCTCCTTGCCCCTTGCCCCCACCTTCTGTTCTAGTAACTTACTTGTTTATAATCAGTTCACTTTCTTCACTGTATTCCTCGGTTATAGAACGGTCATACCCATTCACTTTCAGAATGTGATCTGAAGTGGGTCTGGCCCACGAAAGCTCATCACCTATTAAACCATCTTGTTAGTCTTTAAAGTGCTACCTAGTTTCTTCTCCTTTCGTATTACCAAGATCAGACTAACAGGGCGACCTCTCTATTACTTCTAAGACCTTATTCAGTCCTAATTTACTAAAACAAAAGACAGAGCTATGTAGTTAGTCTTTCAAGTGCTACATAGCTCTGTCTTTTGTTTTAGCTAGACCAGACTAACACAACTGCATCTCTATCACTAATTTACTAAGGCCTTATTCAGCTCTAATTTGATCCTTTTAAATTTGCAAATGAATCACAGCTGGGGGGTAGGGAATGGTTCTTTCTGCAGTTTGGTTTTGAAGGTTCCCCCCTGGTATTTACCCCTCCCCATCAGCTGCTGGGAGAAAGCCATACCCCCTACCCACACCTAATTTGGCCTCCTTAACACTGGCCCTGCACCTGATAAGGAACTCTTTCCATACGCTTCCCCGCCCCCGCCCCCATTCCTACTCCATGCATCTGAGTGGTTTACACCCAGGGAAGCACATGCCCCAATAAATCTGAGCCTTTAAGGGACTCCTGGTTGTTTTTGCAGTTACAGACTAACAGGGCAACCCTCTGAGACTTGTCAAGTGGAAAGTTACAATTGGCTGACTGCAGATCCCAGCTGGGGGCAGGAATTTCTGTATGTGAAGCTAGAACTAGGAAGTGAGTGTGGCGGTTTCCATTCTAAATGTGCTAGTGAGGGCCATTAGGGATATGTGGGTATCTTCATGACCTGGTAGCCCAAAGGGTGGCTGGTCCCCCAGACAGCCCTTTGTGGATCTAGCAATAGAGATGCCACCGTGTTAGTCTGGTGTAGCTGAAACAAAAGCCAGGGCTAGGCAGCACTTTAAAGACTAACAAGCTGGTTTATTAGGTGATGAGCTTCCGTGGGCCAGACCCATTTCAGATCACATTCTGGAATTGGAGGTGGCGGCAAGTAGGACCCCTGCTGGAGGCCCAGGAAGTGCGTGGGCACCCATCTCCCTGTGCAGCCTGGATCTTGGGTGGTGGCTGACAGAGCGTCCGTTGACGGTGGCTCAGAGAACCCCTGGCTGGCCTGTCCCCGGTGGGAATCCTGCCGCCTGTGCTGCTGAGGGGCCAGGCAAAGGCTGGAGCCAGCTCTGCTTGCAAGGCAGAGGCGACTCTCTCCAGACCAGGATGAGGGGCAGGAGCCAGAGGCATTCCAGCCACGCAGCCGTGGGGCAGAGGCGACTCTCTCCAGACCAGGATGAGGGGCAGGAGCCAGAGGCATTCCAGCCACGCAGCCGTGGGGCAGAGGCGACTCTCTCCAGACCAGGATGAGGGGCAGGAGCCAGAGGCATTCCAGCCACGCAGCCGTGGGGCAGAGGCGACTCTCTCCAGACCAGGATGAGGGGCAGGAGCCAGAGGCATTCCAGCCACGCAGCCGTGGGGCAGAGGCGACTCTCTCCAGACCAGGATGAGGGGCAGGAGCCCGGTTGGGTGGTACTTGTGGGGGCAGCCTGACTGTCGGGGGACCCAACGTCCCGCTGTCGTGCTGCTGAGGCCCTGGGGCAGCTGTCTCTGCTCATCCCTCCCCAGCCAGGCGGAGTGCTTGGGCAGTCTCGGCCTGTGGCTGGCTGACTCCCACGGCCCGGCTCACAGCCCGCCAGGTGTCGCTCAGACTGGCAGCCCTCACCATCTCCCTGTTGCCACTTTCAGTGTGTGCTGCGAGTGCTGGCCCCTGCCCTGGAGGAGAATGGCCGAAATCAGGGGCTGGCGGAGGCTGCGAAGCTGCAGTGCCTGAAATGCCAGCAGGAGTTTGGCCAGCCCCTTGCACCCTGGCAGCAGAGCCCGTCTCCGGCAGCGGTGGACGGTGGCGAAGGCGTCGAGGCCCTGGCTCAGGCCAGGCGAGGTACCGAGCCGTGTGGTCCTTGCCTGTGCCCTGGGGCACTTGGCTAACAAAGCATGCTCGGGTGGGAGTCTGCCTTGTCCTGCTGCAGGAACCGAGCAGCTGCTCTGTCAAATGGCTCTCCCGCGGGGCCTCGCTGGGCTGCTGGAGGACGGAGCCAGCCCAGGACTGCCTGCGGATCAGGGTTGCGGTGCCACGGTCCTCAGGAGCCAGTTCTCCAGTCTGGCAGAGCAGGGACTCAGCAGGCAGCCTGGGCTGGGCGGGATCTTCCTCCTTTTCCTTTACTCGGGTCTGCAGACCTGGCGCTCCCTCCCTCCTCTACTGCCCCGGCAGAGGCTGCCTCTCCTGGC